TCAACACCTTCAAGTAAATGAAATGAATGCAACTGCAAAAGTGTCTCATAAACACAAAGTTACCATAAGGGTACACCAATATTGCCATGAATTTTCTGTTCCACAAAATATCTACTTCATAAAAATAAATGGTCACATTATTTCTAGAAAATTTTTCATAGAGTAGGAAAGGATAGGAATAGGAAGAGATTTCTTTTCAATACAATAGTTTCAATGTTGAACATCCTACAATAGAATCAAGTCAACATTTTTGGAAGTTGATATTATCTACCATTCTACAAAGAAATCTACCTGCCAGGTTTTCAGTGCTAATTTAAAACTAGAGACTTGTAAATGTTATTTTAAAACTATGCACATTCCATTTCAAATCATTATTATTCTTGTAATAACAATTAACACAAATTTGATCAATAGTTGTCAAATTTGACTCTTTGAGATCCTATTGGTTAATTATCTTTTTGACAATTATTAGTGTGTTTGAAATCCAAACACTGCAGTAAACCCTTTGCCAACTGGTGGTTGATTAGTGGCCTTTGTTAAATTAATTTTGTAGTTAATTCAATTCCTTATAGTAAGATGTAAACATCATCAATTCTAATGAAACTAAAAAGGGTATTGGTTTTGTGGAGACTAAATTCTCCTCCTATCACCTAGGGATGATCCAAGAACATGTTGGGGAGGCAGTAAGAAAGAGATTGTATTGATGCTGCCTATGCCATGCTACAGATAAATACAAGGCTTTTGTCCACTCAGCCGTTAATTTGGCACATTTATTTAACAAAAATATTTTTTAAAAAAAACACCCAAAAAACCCAACCAAACAGTCCCTTAGGTGTCTGGTCATTCTGAATATACTTACATCAATACATGGCTATTTTCTCACCTTAAAAACATATTTTACATGAACGTAATCAAAAGGGATGTTTAACTTAACAAGTAATTTCAACGTCTTGTCTAAATTAATCTTTCCGTTTCTAAACTCATCCTGAATGATGGACAAAAACCATGTAAGGAAAAACAGGTTAAGGAAATGTGTAATGCATTTAATTGTTGTTTTTTTTGGGGGGGGGGGGGATGCATTTGATTCTTAAGCCAAACATATTAGCGATTTTTCTACTATTATACTTTCTCCATCTCTGGTTCCAAATAATTAACTGAAAAATATTTCTGTTATTTATTCTGTTACAATGCTGGTCTAAAGGGTGCTGGAGGAGGAAGAGCAGCCTATGGGGAAGAAAGGCAAAAAGGGATAAGAAAGATGAAATGGCATAGACAATAAATGGAAACAGATGCGTTAAAACATCCAATGGTAGTAAACGTGAAAAGGAGTAAGGTTTAATGCGGGTAAAGAGTGAAGGGGGTGGGGGATTCACAGATTAAAGAAAATAGGGTAGTGGAGGAAAGCAATAAAAAGGGTAGAAGAGGTGCAGGAGTGTGAAAGCAATGGGGAGCCAGGTGTGAACAGGCTAATGTGGACAGGGAGCTCACAAGGTTGAGTGACAATGAAGAAGATTTGGGTTGTTAATGGGGGTGGCTTGAAGAGCTTAATGGGGTTTCAAAACAGCGTCAGAGGAGGGAGGGGTGTTGGGGGGGAGGTCTGGGGGAAGGCGGGCTGGCCTTGCACTGTGCGTATGGGGAGCTCACTGGCCAATGGGGACTCTTTTTTTCTTCGGGGGGAGGTGTCTCCCTACTGTGGGGTCGGGGAGACCTGGCGGGGGCGGGGTCTTCTCTATTAGGGACGTGCCCCGTGCACGTGGGAGGGGCGGAGAGGGAGTCTGTCCCGCCCTGTCCGCGCGGCGGGGGCTGGGGCTGGGGTGGGGTCGATGATAAGGATATTTGGCCTCCATGGTGGACTCCGCATCGCCCTGCGCCTCTCCGGGGTCTGGTCACTCCGATGGTGTCAGCAGCGGCTCCCAGAGCGGCATCACCCCGGCCCGGCTCCTCTCAGGACCCCTCCTCCCCGCCTCCCCCACCGCGCGGGGATCCCGCCCCTCCCCGGCCAACCGCCCTCGCCGCTGCCCAGAGGGAAGAGAGAACCCGTCGCCGCCGGAGCGCCGGCCGGCACGCGGGGGGCCTGTGACGCCACAAACGGCCCGGCCACGTGGCACGCCCCCCGCCCCTCCTCGCTCTCCCCAGGCCACGCGACTAGACCCGCTTCCTCCGGCCCCTCGCGCTCCCGGGCGGAAGGTGATTTACCTGTTCCCGAAAAGAAAAGGAGTACTTGTGGCACCTTAGAGACTAACCAATTTATTTGAGCATGAGCTTTCGTGAGCTACAGCTCACTTCATTGGATGCATACCCTGGAAACTGCAGCAGACTTTATATACACAGAGAGAATATGAAACAATACCTCCTCCCACCCCACTGTCCTGCTGGTAATAGCTTATCTAAAGTGATCATCAGGTGGGCCATTTCCAGCACAAATCCAGGTTTTCTCACCCTCCACCCCCCCACACAAATTCACTCTCCTGCTGGTGCTAGCCCATCCAAAGTGACAACTCTTTACATAATCAAGTTCGGCTATTTCCAGATGGACTACAAGCCGTCAAGAACACTATCCCCGATAATGTCACGGCTAACCTGGTGGCTGAACTTTGTGACTTTGTCCTTACCCATAACTATTTCACGTTTGGGGACAATGTATACCTTCAGATCAGCGGCACTGCTATGGGTACCCGCATGGCCCCACAGTATGCCAACATTTTTATGGCTGATTTAGAACAACGCTTCCTCAGCTCTCGTCCCAAAAAGCCCCTACTCTACTTGCGCTATATTGATGACATCTTCATCATCTGGACCCATGGAAAAGAAGCCCTTGAGGAATTCCACCATGATTTCAACAATTTCCATCCCACCACCAACCTCAGCCTGGTCCAGTCCACACAAGAGATCCACTTCCTGGACACTACAGTGCTAATAAACAATGGCCACATAAACACCACCCTATACCGGAAACCTACTGACCGCTATTCCTACCTACATGCCTCCAGCTTTCACCCTGACCACACCACACGATCCATCGTCTACAGCCAAGCTCTGCGATACAACCGCATTTGCTCCAACCCCTCAGACAGAGACAAACACCTACAAGATCTCTGTCAAGCTTTCTTACAACTACAATACCCACCTGCAGAAGTAAAGAAACAGATTGATAGAGCCAGAAGAGTTCCCAGAAGTTACCTACTACAGGACAGGCCTAACAAAGAAAATAACAGAACGCCACTAGCGGTCACCTACAGCCCCCAACTAAAACCCCTCCAACGCATTATTAAGGATCTACAACCTATCCTAAAGGATGACCCAACACTCTCACAAGTCTTGGGAGACAGGCCAGTCCTTGCCTACAGACAGCCCCGCAACCTGAAGCAAATACTCACCAACAACCACATACCACACAACAGAACCAGTAACCCAGGAACTTATCCTTGCAACAAAGCCCGTTGCCAATTGTGCCCACATATCTATTCAGGGGACACCATCACAGGGCCTAATAACATCAGCCACACTATCAGAGGCTCGTTCACCTGCACATCCACCAATGTGATATATGCCATCATGTGCCAGCAATGCCCCTCTGCCATGTACATTGGTCAAACTGGACAGTCTCTACGTAAAAGAATAAATGGACACAAATCAGATGTCAAGAATTATAACATTCATAAACCAGTCGGAGAACACTTCAATCTCTCTGGTCACGCAATCACAGACATGAAGGTTGCTATCTTAAAACAAAAAAACTTCAAATCCAGACTCCAGCGAGAAACTGCTGAATTGGAATTCATTTGCAAATTGGATACTATTAATTTAGGCTTAAATAGAGACTGGGAGTGGCTAAGTCATTATGCAAGGTAGCCTGTTTCCTCTTGTTTTTTCCTACTCCCCCCCCCCCCCAGATGTTCTGGTTTAACTTGGATTTAAACTTGGAGAGTGGTCAGTTTAGATGAGCTATTACCAGCAGGAGAGTGAGTTTGTGTGTGTATGGGGGTGGGGGGGATGTGAGAAAACCTGGATCTATGCAGGAAATAGCCCGACTTGATTATGTAAAGAGTTGTCACTTTGGATGGGCTAGCACCAGCAGGAGAGTGAATTTGTGTGGGGGGGTGGAGGGTGAGAAAACCTGGATTTGTGCTGGAAATGGCCCACCTGTTGATCACTTTAGATAAGCTATTACCAGCAGGACAGTGGGGTGGGAGGAGGTATTGTTTCATAATCTCTGTGTGTATATAAAGTCTGCTGCAGTTTCCACGGTATACATCTGATGAAGTGAGCTGTAGCTCACGAAAGCTCATGCTCAAATAAATTGGTTAGTCTCTAAGGTGCCACAAGTACTCCTTTTCTTTTTGCGAATACAGACTAACACGGCTGTTCCTCTGATACCTGTTCCCGCGCTCACACGGTACCCTGGCAACGCGGCACAGCTGGGCCAATTCCGCTGCCGTAGTCGGATCCCGCCAGAGAGGCCATTTCAGAAAACTGTTACATCATCAAAAGTTCTTGAGCTTTCCAGGGTGGTGATTTTTATTGTTACTATGTCTATTATTTTCCAGTCTTTTTATTTCATTGTTGCTTTATCAAAAGCATTGCATCTTCTGAGTATGTTTCTGGTTATCTAAAACATTCATGTTGAAGCTCTCCATAGTTGAGTTTTCATTCTGGTATCCTAATTTGTGGATCCCTAGCCAACCGTCTTCCATATCATAACATAAACATGGCCATAGCTTAGGAGAATTAGTTTTTCATGTGCTGCCAGTAAATATTTTCCACTGTGACAATTTTTGCAAAAGCTCTAGCTCTGTTTAATCATTTTCTTTTGATCTCACTAATATTTCTAGATCTTTCCAGGTACAGCTTTAGAGCACACACAAAAGTTCTGGATGTTACCAAGAAACGTTTTTGCTGTGACATCCTCAGGTGTTCTAAAATATTTTTAATAACAATTTTCACATTAGCAAATTGTTCATGCTTTCATTTCAGGTTCACCACCACAGAAATATACCACAATGTCCAACAAATGTGATTTGTCTAAGGAAGAGAAAGAGTGGGTCATATGCCATCTGCTGTATCAGGCACGTCCAGGCGAATTCTGCAGTGTTTTTGAAGATCTCTGTATTCTGGTCCAGGACGATGACCTGATGAGGCAAGAGGCTGCCCAGGTCTGTGCCCATCACAATAAGAACAATTTCACCTTAGTCCGAATAAAAGGAACCAATGTGCTGGTGGCTCACTACAATGACCTAGGAGGAAATAGCTTTTTTGACCCTAAAAATAAATTTTCTTTCAAATTTGATCACTTGAGTGGAATATCAAACAAATTTCAGCTCCATAGGGTAGCATGGGATGAGACAGAGCTATGGAGAACAGCCCTAAATAGTGCTTTAAAGGCATATGTGAATAGTCACTTTCCTTCAGGGGACTGCAGTGTGTTTAGAAAAAAATTGAAAAACAGGCAGATAATTGTGGTCTGTATTGTAGGTCATCAGTACAAACAGCTGGGTTTCTGGAATTGCCTTTGGAAAGGTGAATGGACTTTTTCCCAGATTCCAGTTATTACTCAGGTTACAGGGGCCATTCATATGCAAGTACACTACTTTAAAGATGCTAATCTCCACATGACAGTCTGCAAGACTGTTGAAGAGACCTTGCATGTAATTGACCCAGCCCAGCTGGCCATAGATTTTGTGAAACTCATAAAAACTGAAGACAACAAATTTCACATTGCCATGCTGGAAAACTTCCAAGCTTTGACAGATGAAATCTGGAGAAAAATTCTACAAAGGCAGCTCCCAGTCACTCGCACTGTCATTAACTGGAATAAACTGCTGACCAATCAGAGCATGAAAGCCAATATTTCCAGTTGTGAGGTGCCACTGAGTGTCCTGAAGTGCACTGTTTGAGTAAAATATAGCCCAAATAAAACTAACGATCACTATGGAAAGTGGATTTATTTTATTCATTTGACTTTTTTCTGGCTATGGGGAATATAAAGCCTTTTACCACAAGGTTGCCATTTTGAATCTAATCCAGTTCAGTAATATCTAAAAGTTATTACTGGTTGATGTTTTTCTTAATGCAAGGATTTTCCTGTCTTTTTCTGATTCAGCTGGCACTGACCACTGTCAGAGATAGGATAGTATCAGAGGAGAAGCCATGTTAGTCTGTATCCACAAAAACAAGAAGAAGTTTGGTGGCACCTAAAAGACTAACAGATTTATTTGGGCATAAGCTTTTGTGGGTAAAAAACCCCACTTCTTCAGATGCATGGAGTGAAAATTACAGATGCAAGCATAAGTATACTGACGCATGAAGAGAAGGGAGTTACCTTACAAGTGGAGAATCAGAATTGGCCTTGTTAACAGTGGTTCTGCACTTGTAAGGTAACTCCCTTCTCTTCATGTGTCAGTATATTTATGCCTGCATCTGTAATTTTCACTCCATGCATCTGAAAAGGTGGGGTTTTTTACCCACAAAAGCTTATGCCCAAATAAATCGGTTAGTCTTTAAGGTGCCTGAGATAGGATACTGTCTAGATGGACCACTTGTCTGATCCAATATGGAAAGTCATATTTCTATGTATTTTTCACCAGTTTTAAATTGACTTACATTTTTAAATAAAAATAATTGAATTTAATCTCACATTTTATGTTAACTTTCATTTTGGGGCAGATGGTAATGCTTGTTTAATAAGGATATTAAGGGACAAATATGAGATTATCAGAATAGCATTGAAACCCAAGAAGCTCAACCTCCAAGTTTTGTTCACATATATCAATATTTATCTCGAGGAAAGATATAATGCAGTCACATAAACTAAGGGAAACATGGAAACAGGAGGCATAAATCTATTACAGCCAGGGTTGGAACTATGCCAGGTCCCACCAGGGATGTGTCCTAGTAGTTCAAGAAGAAACTTTAATTCATGTATTCTGCTATCCCATAATGACAGGTAACTGGGCCACCTCCTCTCTCAGTTTTGACAATTGAATTATAACTAGGGCTGTCATATGATTAAAAATATTAATCACGATTAATTGCACGGTTAAAAAAATAATTGTGATTAATCACACTGTTAATAATAAAATGCCATTTATTTAAATATTTTTTGATGTTTTCTACATTTTCAGATATATTGATTTCAATTACAATACAGAATACAAAATATACAGTGTTCAATTTATATTTATTTTTGATTACAAATATTTGCACTGTAAAAAACAAAAGAAATAGTATTTTTCAGTTCACCTAATACAAGAACTGTAGTGCAACCTCTTTATCATGAAAGTTGAACTTACAAATGTAGAACTATGTCCAAAAATAAACTGCATTCAAAAATAAAACAATGTAAAACTTTAGAGCCTACAAGTCCACTCAGTCCTACTTCAGCCAATTGCTCAGACAAACAAGTTTGGTTGTAATTTGCAGGAGGTAATGTTGCCTGCTTCTTGCTTGCAATGTCACCTGAAAGTGAGAACAGGCATTCGCATGGCACGGTTGTAGCTGGCATCATAAGATATTTATGTGCCAGATGCAGTAAAGATTCGTATGTCCCTTCATGCTTCAACCACCCTAATGATGGATTCTGCTTGATAACGATCCAAAGGAGAGCAGACTGACGCATGTTCATTTTCATCATCTGAGTCAGATGCTGGAGAAGGTTGATTTTCTTTTTTGATGGTTCGGGTTATTAGTTTCTGCATCTGAGTGTTGCTCTTTTAAAACTTCTGAAAGCATGCTCCACAACTCATCCCTCTCAGATTTTGGACAGCACTTCAGATTCTTAAACCTTGGGTCGAGTGCTGTAGCTATTTTTGCAAATCTCACATTGGCACCTTTTTTGCGTTTTGTCAAATCTGCCGTGAAAGTGTTCTTAAAACGAACATGTGCTGGGTCATCATCCACTGCTATAACCTGAATTATATGGCAAAATGTGGGTAAAACAGAACAGGAGACATACAATTCTCCCCCAAGGAGTTCAGTCACAAATTTAATTAATGCATTATTTTTTTAACAAGCATCATCAGCATGGAAGCATGTCCTCTTGAATGGTAGCTGAAGCATGAAGGGGCATATGAATGTTTAGCATATCTGGCACATAAATATCTTGCAACGCCGGCTACAGAAAGTGCCATGCGGACACCTGTTTTCACTGTCAGGTGATGTAAATAAGAAGCAGGCAGCAGTATCTCCCGTAAATGTAAACAAACTTGTTTGACTTAGCGATTTGCTGAACAAAAAGTAGGACTAAGTGGACTTGTAGGCTCTAAAGTTTTACATTGTTTTGTTTTTGAGTGAAGTTATTTAACAAAAAAAATTTACATTTGTAAGTTACACTTTCAGGGTAAAGAGATTGCATTACAGTACTTGTATGAGGTTAACTGAAAAATACCATTTCTTTTATCATTTTTACAGTGCAAATATTTGTAATAAAAATAATAATATAAAGTGAGCACTGTACACTTTGTATTCTGCGTTGTAATAGAAATCAATATATTTGAAAATGTAGAAAAACATCCAAAATATTTAATACATGTCAGTTGGTATTCTATTGTTTAACAGTGCGATTAATCACAATTACTTTTTTTGAGTTAATCGCGTGAGTTAACTGCGATTAATCGACAGTCCTAATTATAACTGATTACTAAAAATAATGATTGACTTATCCACATCTGATTTCATATGAGCTGTGGGCAGCTTACCATCATCAGAGGGTATGGTCCCACCAACACCAAGGCTAACAATGCTGGTGCAGATAATTTACCAGCAACTGCAGTCAATCTTTAATAAAACTCTGAGAAGAGATGTCATTGTGATTGTGGGCAACTTTAAAGTGCAGGCAGGAAATTTGCAGCTGCCAATGACCTGGTGATCGTTGACCTTCTCTTTTGTCACCCAAAGATTCATAAGCAGACCTGGTATAGCCCAGATGGTTTCACCAGCACTGTTATTGATCATGTCCTTATTAACAGTCATTGGCAGTCATGGATGTGCGAGTTCACAGAAATGCTGAACTTCACACTGACCGTTGGCTTCTGCTGACAAAAGTGTGCTTCCGACTTCAAAGAAGAGACAACCAGTTAATGTGCTGGAATTAGTCCAGTTCAATGAAAAGATCTTAATACAACAAACTATCAGATGGCTTTCTGTTCTGAACTGTGTAAGGCCATCAAAGCACGAAAGAATGAAATGTCACTCCTTCTGTCATCTGATGGGGAATGGTACTGTTTCAAGTAATCAGTGCTGACTACTGCCAGCTCAGTGCTGGAGCCTCAGCCCTTCAGACATTATCCAGGGATCAGTGAGGAGACACTGGTGTTACAAGGTTTTTAACCCCCTTCCTGCTTCTATCATCGGGGCTTGACAGGAAAACCGACACACAGGTAAGGTGTAAACACAAACAATTTATTAAAAACAAGGACCCCCAAAACACTAAGCATATAAACAAACCACTCGGTCATCAAACCAACAAGGGCCTTAAGCCTGGAACCTAAAAGGTATACAATGGGGTAAAGATACAACAAAGATTAACTACATCACCATGGGATAGCACGGAGGCAGGAATCGAGAACACAGGATACACTAGGATGGGTCTTCAGATGGAATACCAGTAAGTCGATCGTCAGGTAGGCTGATCTTCTACCAGGTTTTCCAATGCTTTACGTCGTCCTGTGTGGGTGTATGCGGACACAGTTCTGACGATGTAATGTCAGTTGCATGGGAGCAATGAAGATAGACACTGGACTGTCACAGCAATGACTTGGCTACCTCTAGGGCAGACAGCACCTGAGGGGCGTGCTGCTCAGCCGTAAATAAGTTCCTGTTGCCAGGCAGATTCTTTTCCGCCTTTGCAAGAAAAGGTGACAAACTAGGTAACAAGGAGGACACTAAATATGGAGGAACAACAACAACTCCATGAATCCAAAAATTCCCTACACTGGAGCTAAGAAAAAAGCAAGGCTACAATTTGAGGATTCAATGACATGTTTGTTGAGAGCTGTCACGGTTCCCTCCCCACTCTGAACTCTAGGGTACAGATGTGGGGACCCACGTGAAAGATCCCCTAAACTTATTCTTACCAGTTTAAAACCTTCTAATTCTTACCAGGTTAAAACCTTCCCCAAGGTACAAACTTTGCCTTGTCCTTGAACAGTATGCTGCCACCACCAAGCATTTTAAACAAAGAACAGGGAAAGAGACCACTTGGAGACGTCTTCCCCCCAAAATATCCCCCCAAGCCCTACACACCCCCTTTCCTGGCGAGGCTTGAGAATAATATCCTAACCAATAGGATACAAAATCATCAAAGACCCAACCCCTAGATCTTGGAACAATGGAAAAATCAGTCAGGTTCTTAAAAGAAGGGTTTTATTAAAAAAAAGAAAGGTAAAAATCATCTCTGTAAAATCAGGATGGAAAATACAGGGTATTCAGAGTCAAAACACAGAGGATCCCCCTCTGGGCAAAACCTTAAAGTTACAGAAAACAGGAATAAATCTCCCTCTTAACACAGAGAAAATTAACATAAAAAAAAAAAGATAAACTAATCCACCTTGCCTGGCTTACCTATACTGGTTGTAATATTGGAGACTTGGATTAGGATGGGTTGGAGAAGATGGATTTCTGTCTGGCCTCTCTCAGTCCCAAGAGAGAACAACCAAGTAAACAAAGAGCACAAAACAAAAGCCTTCCTCCCCCCAAGATTTGAAAGTATCTTGTCCCCTTATTGGTCCCTTGGGTCAGGTGCCAGCCAGGTTAGCTGAGCTTCTTAACCCTTTACAGGTAACAAGGATGTTGCCTCTGGCCAAGAGGGATTTTATAGCACTGTATACAGAAAGGTGGTTACCCTTCCCTTTATATTTATTACAAGAGCAAAGGAAAAGCTGAATGGGTTTGACTTCAG